AGAGCGGGTTTCCAGCGCCGCCATGCTGCGGCAGTCTGAGGTCCAGCCGGAGGCCGGAGAGCTGCAGCAGGACGGACTGCAGAGGCCCAGAGCTGCAGGAGGCGTCACAGAACCGGGCCCTCGCCTGCCAGAACCTTCAGCTGTGATCAGATCTACCTGCGTGACTCACCGCTGTAAAATAAAAGCTCCATAAATCACAGGGGGAGGTCTGAACCGGGCAGCAGCTGCTCCATTAGCTATTCATTGCATAAATCAGCCACCAAACTGCTCGTTGAATAAATGATGACGGCCGTAATAAGTTTCTGCACACGTGCGAGCGCCGCGGTTCGTTTCCACAACAAGTCGCGCCGAAGCCTCTTCCAGCAGAACCGGGCCCGCCGTCAGTGGGAATGACACGGGCCCGCTGACTGCTTGACCAACAGAAGAAGATGCAGCAGCCTACTTACGCTGACAGCTCTAAAAATACACGCAGCGTATTCTATTCTGAGCCGGACGGCAGCAGCTCGCGTCAGGAAAACACGCACAAACATCCAGAGGCTCGCTGGATCCGTCCTCCTCTGGATCAGGACACCGAGCACCTGAGATCCCACGGTTACGTCCGTGAGCGTGAGCGTGCACGAGAACAGATCGACGTGCATTAAAAACCCTCNAACGCACAAACGCATAAACCAGCAGCGCTTCAGCAGCGTCCATCTCTGATGATGTGACAGCAGCTAAACTGTAAACATGGTCGCCCACGTGTGACTCTGACGACGCTTCAGTCGCTCACTGTGACGTCAGACTCCGCCTCCTCCCGTCTGCATGCAGACGTACAGACGGAGTTTTCAGATGTGATGGTTTTCGGTGACTCGTAGCTTCGTCTACGTGTCAACCAAAGACCCGCTGAAATATCACCGTTGTGGCGATGTGTGTAAACGGGGCCTCAGTGTAGCCCTGTGATAGACTGGTTACCTGTCCAGGTGAACCTGCCTTCCCCCTGAGTCCGCTAGGATAGGCTCCGCCCCCTAGTGAGGATGTGCTGATGATGGATGGATTCATTTTTGCAGCTAAATCTTTCTTTTCTTTTTTCCTTTTCCTGCTTGTTCTGAATCATAAACGATGTTCAGGTGGAGCTGCAGCTCAACAAACTGTTCAATAAAATAAAAAACATTCGTTCAGACTTCTGTACATTCACTCATCAAGTTCTGCATCAAAACAGTTGCAGCCTGACGAGCGTGAGCTGTAACATCTCGTTTGTTTCTGTGCAGAGATCAGAAGCTGAACGGCTGCATTCAGGTGATGAGGTTTGTTAGAGTTTCCTGAACAATAAGAAACCTCACAGTGTCCCTGAAACCACATCGATCCCGCGAACAATAGCTGCACGACGATGATCGATGCACGAGGAACAAACCGGAGAGCAGAGCCGACCGGCAGAAGCTCCAGACATGCAGAAGTTAGTGTGAGCCCGTCAGATGATCATGATTTGGCCGCCGCTGAAACACATCCAGCCTGCGTGGGCTCCCATCGACCGCTGAGTCACCTTAAAGAGTAAACAGCGCGTCTCGGAGCCAACTGAGGGGTTTGAAAGAGATCCAGGATCCGCGGAGACCAACATCAAGGCTGTGGACACGTGGAGGCTGAGAGGGCGGGGCCTCGACTCAGCACGGCCAATAGGATTCGAGAAGGGAGTCGGCGATGGAGCAGACGGACGGGAAGGAAGTTTAGAGTTTAGATAAGTGCAGCAGCGTCAGAACGTGAGCTGCAGTGAATTTATCTTTAATATTCAGGGTTCTGTTTTGTCTCTTTGTCGTCCTTTTCTGTCTCGTTTTTGTTGGTTTCTGTCCCTCTCGTGTCGTTTTGCCTCCTTTTTGTCACATTTTGTGCCGAGTTACTTTTTTTTACGTCTCATTTTTCTACTCTTCTGTTGTTTTTTGCCAGTTTGTGCCTCATTCTGTCATCTCTTTGTTGTTTTGTCTCAGTTTCTTCGTCTTGTCTTCATGTACGACACATATTTAACTATTTTCTACAAACTTTTGTCTCTTTTCTGGTGTTTCGTGTCTCATTCTGTCTTGTTTCAGTTGTTTTGTGTGTTTTTACAACATTTTTGTCTCTTTGTGATCAATTTCATCTCAATTTATTGTAATTTTCTGTCTTGTTTTGTGTCATTTTGTGTTTCCTTGTGACAGTTTTGTCTCTCTGGGGTCATTTTCAGTCTACGTTTTGTTGTTTTCTGTCCCTCTCGTGTCGTCTTGTGTCTCTTTGGGACAGTTTTGTTTCTTTATTTTGCTTCATTGCTCTTTTTTCTCACTTTGGATCTTGTTTTTCTTGTCTTGTGGTGTTTTTATGTCTCTCAAGTCATTTTGTCTCCTCATCCTGCAGATGTTGAACTATCTCCATGTCTCCAGACTTCTCCTCTCTGTTCTGCTCATCAGCTGTAGAAAGATGTTCCTCCATCAGCTGAATGTATCTCCACCAACTGGCTCCTCTGGTCTCTGGTTCTGATCCGTTTCATTCATTGATCCAGGAGGATGGATTCTCCTTCAGCCTCTCTGAGGAAACTCTGGCTGCAGCTCAGCCTGAAACCTGCTGACTGGCTCACAGCTGGTGGAGAATTTAAAGAATCACAGAATCTGGCCCAAATGGTTGATTTTTACATCTTGTAAACGTGACGCGTTGAATGAAGAGTTTCTAACTTAATTTGGTTTATTTTGCTGACAGAACCACACATCATCCAGAGACCATCAGAAAGTTGAAAATATGACGATTTTCTATTTTTCTAGTTTCTGGTTGATAAATGTTGTCAAACAGTTTATTGACTCATGCACGAAATAATCCAGATTCATCGACTGTTCAGTCCAGTCGGACACTTGTTGTGGTGTCACGTGATTTTAGCACGAATTCAAGACAAACTGCGACTAAAATTATATTTCTTGCACATTTTTTTCCTTATTTTTTGGACTATTTATATGGTTTTGTCTCTAAAACGTCTCAGGATGGTGGAAATGTTCATCAGTGTCGACTACTTAAATAATCTTCCACTATTTTGATCATTTATAAGTAATTTTTAAATAAAACCAGCTCGACTACGGCTCCTTAAATGTGAACAGGAAACGGATCCACGTTTGAACAGCTGATCGATTCCTCCAGAAGATAATCAATAATCAGAGTGATAACTAGTCCAAACGTTAATCTTATGATGTGCCGTCATGTTTAAATGGTTTCTGTGAACTCCCTGTTTCATGATGCATCCACAGAAATGAGCAGATCATTTATGAATTCGTCTGTGGCTCCTGTCATCTGTCCGTTTACGTTTGTTTATGTGTAAATGTGAAAATGTGTGACTGTACTTGGCAGCCGGCGGCGACATTCAGACGCCGTCGCTGATAAATATTTGTTGGTTCAACAGTGAAGCTGCTGAAACGAAGTGAGAGAAAAACAAAGTGAATCTGCATCAGGAGCTGCTGACGGACGTTCACGCTGCGAGAAGGAAAGTCCGAGCGCAGAGGAGCTCAGAGGGAAGCAGCTCCTCACCAGACCATCGGAGCTGCTCCACGCTCGACTTCTGCATCCAGAAGTCAGTCCAGTCAACTCCAGGTCATCAGGCTGCAGCTGCTCCTGCAGCCTGATGAGAAAAGAAAACTGGATCCACAAGAGAAGTCCGTCTAAAAACTTAAAACAGTTTGTTGAGCTGCAGCAACATCAGAGGAAGGTTTGGCTGCAGAAAGAAGAATCAGCTGCCTGAAGGATTTTCAGCAGCTTTGTTGAACTTTTTAGATGTTTTCTTTCTGTGCAGATGTCTGTATTTTAGAACAACTCCTTCCAAACAAATTCCTGATTTTTAAAAACGTCTGAGTGAAAACATTTAACTTCATGTGAAAGAACTTTGTCAACCTGCAGCTCCGCATGAAGAGAAACTCTGGAAAAGAAGATCTGGTTGTAAAAGAATAAAACGCACAGCGACAGAAAGGACGACACAAACGTTTTGCACCGCACGAGGAAACTCTGAGCTCGACTGTTTAAACGAGCGACTCTTTGTGAGTCACATGAAAAAGGTTCCAAACTTCATTTTCCAGCGTTTTCACACGATTTAGTCGCAGATACTCCCTTAAAAAAATCATCAAACTCATTCTGGAGTGAATCATTCTTTCCCAGCAAGTCATCTGGTGACAACTCCTCATGTTTAACAACATACATACATATATATATATATATAAAGATCACAGTTAGTTCCTGCACTGTGCAGTTTGAGGCGCTGAACATTGTAAAATATTCAAAACTAATCAAGTGGGAAACACTGAAAAGAACGATTTGGCTGCAAAAATAAACCAGAAAAAATAAAGACGGGTTCTCTCTGAAAGAAGTTTGTGGACCTGCAGCTCCACATGCGCACAGAAACACGAGGAGACGAAAACAGCAGCGTGTTTTCACCACCAGCGCTTCGTCTCAGCTTTTAAATCAGCAGCACAAGCTTCTGTGTGACGAGAGCAAAGATGTGAATGAATCCAAACATGAAACTATTCTGGATGTTCTTGTTTTTTTACACTATTTTTTTCTTTCTCTGCAGATGCACGTCCCTACAAACCATCCCAACCACAGAGGCAATTATCTCCACATCAAGTCACCTGCAGGAATCTCTGCATTGTCTCCCAGCACACAGACACCCTGACTGTCTCCTCCTTGGTGTCCGGCTGCTCTGATGAGAACCTGTGAGGAGCCTCCAGAGCTGCACCTGTGGGCTGCAGCCAGGCTGAGGACAGGTATAACTCACTGAGCGCTTTGCTGACGGTGCACACTGACTCCTGAGTACCGCAGTGCTCGCTCCTGTGGCATCTCCCATCCAGCAGCCTCCACCTTCAGCCCACATGTGAGCCGAGCCGGGGTGGAGGATGAATGATTGATGGGGAGCCAGATGTTTGGTGGCCTTTACCGAGCTCAGGGCGGCCGGTGAGGGGAGGCTGGATGGAGGCTGGATGGAGGCTGGATAGAGGTAGGATGGAGGTAGGATGGAGGTAGGATGGAGGCTAGATGGAGGCAGGTTGGAGGTAGGATGGAGGCTGAATGGAGGCAGGTTGGAAGGAGGGTGAAAGCATGATGGAGGCTGGATGAGGGATGAATGGAGGCAGGATGGAGGCTGACAGAGGCAGGTTGGAGGTAGGATGGGGCTGGATGGAGGATAAATGGAAGATGAATGGAGGCTCTACAGACACAGGATGGAGGCTGGATGGAGGCTGAACAGAGGCAGGTTGGAGGCACGATGGAGGCTGCATGATGGCAGGATGGAGGCTGGATGGAGGCTGCATGATGCGGTGGTGGTCCGGGCTCTGGCTGCGGCTGGGCGCCTGCAGAGCTGCGGACTGCGGTGCATTCATTAACGGAGTGAAGCTCCACACATCAGGCTGCACGGGGGGAAAATGGACGCCCAGCATCGAGCCCCCGGTGCGCGGAAACTCCGAGCGCCGGACACGATGCAGCCCAGATTTCCGTCCCGACACCTGCAGTGTGAGCGCAGCCGGAGTCTCCAAATCTGCCGTTCATTTGCATAACACATAATCACAGGCCCCGCGAACAAAAACCACCATTCAGCGTTTCATCGGAGCCTTTTTTTTTTTTTCCTCCATCGTGTCTGCAGGAGTCAGAGACGCGCTAAGTTCCAGCAACAACACATCAATGTGGCATCAAACCCCAGCAGGTCCAGCCACTAAAGCACCGACGGGAGGACGAGAGAGGCTCTTACCTGCGGCTCTGATTTGTGAGGAGAATAAACAGAGGAGACGCTGCTGCCGCTCGGATCCGCTGCGCGCTGTGATGGAAGCGGCTGCGTAAAGGAGGCTAATAGAAAACACGTCACTGAGCGCGGGTTCGTCTCCGGTGGATGTGGCCGCTGCTCGTGTGTACTCGGTAGAATGCGTCTCCCCCCCTCCTCCCCCTCACCTCCCCTCCCCTCCGGTTCCTCCGGTTCCTCCTCCTCCCGCCGCCTGTCTGCTCCTCTTTGGAGCAGCAAAGCGCGCAGCGCAGCCAAGTTGACGCAAAAAAAAAAACAAAAAAAACTGGATGGAGCTAAAAAAAATAATTAATAAAAAAAAAAAACAGAAAAAAAGAAATGTGAGAATCGACACCAGATGGAGAGGTCTGTTGATCAGGACGGAGAGGTGTCACCCCTTTCCCCCCTCACCCCTCCTCCTCCCCCGCCGCGGCGCGCTGATTCAGGGTCTGGATGTGCTTATTGGAGCGTGCGGCGCGCGCACGGGGCTCAGTAAGTAGCCTGTTAGCAGCGAGCAGCTTCTCCTCACGTGAACGTATGGATGGGATCTATACGTGTGACTGATTGGATTCTGTGTGTGTGGCTGCAGAGCGACTTGATGGACGCCGCCGGGACAGTTTCCCTCTGTGGCGCTGCTGATGATGAGCAGGATGAGGAGGAGGATGATGATGATGATGATGATGAGGGCCGCGCTGGTAGTTCTGGGAAATGGAGCACGAGCGCAGCCCTGCAGAGAGAGAGAGATGTCAAAGCGTGAAATCAAATATCTACAGGTCGATAGGAGCCGCGCGTCGATACGGACAGAAGCCCGCCGCGTGCTCCCGCTAATTGACTCCTCTCGTCATAATTATTTAGTCAGGTGACGTCACACGATGAAGCGGCTTCATCACGCAGACTCAGTTATGTCATCTGCAGATCTGTGTTTTGGGGGAAAAACGCAGTTTGGAGCAAAAAAAAAAAAAAAAAGCAACAGAGTGACCTTCAGTAGCTTTACAACGACGTTACTGCCCAGTTCACCCCGTTACTCCCTCACACGCACGCGCACACGCACAGAGTGTAGAGAGAGAGAGAAAGAGGGGCAGAGGGAGGCAGAGCTGGATGCAGCTAATGCAGAGTGACAGCTCTTTCATGCAGTAATGGTGATGGTGAAAAGAGAGATCCACTCAGCCCACACTGCTGCTGCTGCTGCTGCTGCAAACACACACACACACACACACACACACACACACACACAACACAAACAGGAGAAGTGTTTGCAGCAGCTTCATTCATCATAAAACAACAACGACGACTCTGAGCAGCTCTGTTGACCTGTGGAGGCTGTGTGATGAGCACACAGCGATGCCACTCTGTGTTCGTCTGCTCTGGATGTAATAACGGCTGTTTTTAACTCCCTGTGTGACCTTGACAGAAGCCGTGCAACACTCTGACACAGAGACAAGTTCTAGTTCCTCCCAAACACTTTCAAACCTCCACACAAACCATCCAGCGAGCGCGGCGCTGATCAATCGCCGCCCTCCGGCTGTGGAGGGAGTCTGGTTCCCACCCAGCGCCTCTCTGCACTGCAGTGTTCAGTCCAGCCACGAGCACAGGACACAGCAGAGTCAGGAGGCGCCGCTCAGCCCCGAAACCCACTCAGGGCTGCACAGGCATCCAACGAAGACGTGAAAAAAGGAGTTACAGGAACCCTCGTCTGGGTTTTATTAACATACAGAGCAGTGATCTTATCCTGGTTTATGATCC